TGTAAAGTATTATATCTCATCTTGTAAAGTATTACATCTCATCTATGTAAAGTATTACATCTCATCTATGTAAAGTATTACATCTCAAGTATTACATCTCATCTATGTAAAGTATTATATCTCACCTTGTAAAGTATTACATCTCATCTATGTAATACTTTACAAGATGAGATATAAGACTGTACATAGATGAGATGTAATACTTTACATAGATGAGATGTAAAGTATTACATCTCATCTATGTAAAGTATTACATCTCATCTTGTAAAGTATTACATCTCATCTATGTAAAGTCTTATATCTCATCTTGTAAAGTATTACATCTCATCTATGTAAAGTATTACATCTCATCTTGTAAAGTATTACATCTCATCTATGTAAAGTATTACATCTCATTTATGTAATGTGTTACATCTCATCTTGTAAAGTATTACATGTCATCTAGTAAAGTCTTATTTTTCATCTATGTAAAGTATTACATCTCATCTTGTAAAGTGTTACATCTCATCTTGTAAAGTATTACATCTCATCTATGTAAAGTATTATATCTCGTATTGTAAAGTATTGCATCTCATCTTGTAAAGTATTACATCTCATCTTGTAAAGTCTTATATCTCATCTTGTAAAATATAGCATCTCATCTATGTAAAACAATATATCCGTGTAAAGTATTGTATCTCATCTATGTAAAGTAATATATATCATATATGTAGAATATTACACGTAAAATATTACGAATCATTTATTTAACATATAGTATCTAAGTAAAATATTTCATCTCATGTATGTTAAAGTATTACATTACATCTATGTAAAATGGTATATCTATGGTAAATAGTATATCCATGTAAAGTAGTACATCCATGTTAAATAGTATATCCATGTAAAGTAGTACATCCATGTAAAGTAGTACATCCATGTAAAGTAGTACTTCTATGTAAAGTAGTACATCTATGTAAAGTAGTACATCTATGTAAAGTAGTACATTCATGTAAAGTAGTACATCTATGTAAAGTAGTACATCCATGTAAAGTAGTACATCTATATAAAGTAGTACATCCATGTAAAGTAGTACATCCATGTAAAGTAGTACATCCATGTAAAGAAGAACATCCATGTAAAGTGTATTTAAAATATTACATCCACATTTACTACATCTATTTAATAATATCATTTTGTTAAAGAAGTACATCTTTGTATAATAAGTAGAACTTACTTTGTTTCTGTACAAAACATTATATCATCAAGGCAAGTATGATAAAACAGATGCGGAACCCATCTTTAACTTGCGTTTTTTGTTCGCATTAAAAGTTTGACATTCAGCAGAACTTAAATTGTTTTTGTTTAGATTATATTTAAAGTCAGCAGAAAAAGCGCTTCAATAGAAATTGTCTTTTTTTGTTAAACCTTACCTGGTATGGCCGTTAATGTCGGCAGCCCGGCCGGATGCGTTTACGTACAGGGAAATCCAGGGGCGATTACATTCTGGGGAGTTTGTTTTAGAAGGGGTTTTCCCCTATGACGTCATCTGTAACTGTCAACAATCAAACATGTCATTACTGAATTCTATGTATAGAGGATCTCAATTTAGCATTGGTCATCTGATAAAAAGTGACAGATTGATAATCAAACGAACAACTTTTATAATACATAAGGAATCCAAGTCTTGGTGTGTAAAGCTCTTCAAAGTTACCAGCATGTATGTAAATGAGACATACAACATCACGTTTTCTGACATAGCACTAACTACTTGTAATAGAGGACTAAATTGATTATGCAGACGCACGAATTCTTTCTCTAATACTTCAACCGTAAGAGATAAGGTTAAATGTTTTAAAAGCCATAATTAGTGTTAAAAATGAATACTATCCTCAATACATGTAAGCGTTTGATATTATTGTCTACCATTAAGAGTAGTGACTTAAGAATGGACAAGCTTGCCCTGAGCACGGATTAAAACCCCACTGTCTAAACATCACACACAGGTGATATCAGGTATGTTATAGACAACATACTCATTGTGATTAGTGTTGTATTTCGATCACCTTTGTGAAGGTTAAGGATAACCTAATCCGGCTCTCCTCGAATACGGAATGTTGTTGTCCATCCGTTTGGGGTTTTGTGTGTTCATTTGTAATTGATTAAAGACAACAGACAATGCTAGACTTGTCCGAGTTTGTACATCTAGGGCCAAATTCGGCGTTTCACATGAATCTTGAGTAGCAAATCATCTATTTTGGTAATGAATAAATAAGATCAATAACATAAACTGTACACTGACCTAATCCTAACGCCGTAGTTATCTTGCTAGGAGAGGTTTCTTTTCAAGGAAAGGCGAACGGCGATATAAACATTTCCTGTGGAAAAACGCTAAAATGACCAGGATGAAATCGTAACAAAAAATGAAAGCCTTGTTAGTTATAAAGTTCAGTGTCAAGCTTTTTCAGCAGACTGTGGACATAATCTTGGGACAAACTATTCATAATATTTCTTGTCCGAACTGGTTTTGTTTTCAAATGATAATGAATTTATAAGTAAATAATGAGAAATATAGATATTATATAACCTCCTTAACTTAACAATCAGGGACGTTACTTACTCATTTACATGCTCTGTCGCTTTCCTCGATCTCTACTGTTAATACAATTATCAGACACGAGCTCTATCTATTACTAAGTTTTAATAAGCGTGACGATTTCGATTTGCTAATATTGAAATTTCCCGTTCTTGATAATGACTTCCCTGTTTATTCAATTTAAGATGGTTATACATTACATTTGATTTCATGTTTAAGGGCATGCTCGGGGATATCACGATTTCCATCATAGTCGTCGCGTCGAACTTCGAGGATAAACTTAGTGTTTCTAGAGTAGTGTTACGTTGGCAATGATAATTTCATTGACAAATATCCTATGTCCTTGTGTGACATGACTATCAACATTTTTGTTATGTTCATAAGTGTGCCTTGTGGTTTCGTTAACACTGTTTCAGTTGCCATTTGAACACTTTCGTGCTTTTATTATGAATATCATGATGATTGTGATAGATGTTGACTACTGACAGACAAACATACAACAGAGGTTTTCCAGAGATACTTGTTGATAGAGACTATGGGCAGTTTTTTTATGGTCGCCATTATAATCTCATTGGGAAATCTATTATTTCTTTAAATAATATAAAGATGAAAGTCTTTTGATTATTCTGCGTGTAGTGTGGTTATGTTGTCACCACCCGAGAGCTCGATGTCAAGATGTGACATTACTTTGATATAACTAGAATTACACTGTTTGGGTGTCGTCGATGAAGCAGGAGGCTTTTACCTTTCCGGAACAACTGGCAAGGTTTATAGTACGAAGCACGGATATGTTGACACATTGTTATCATGTTGCTGTTCGTTGATCTTCATAATGAACTGGAGTTAAAACAATGTGCCAGGGGATGGCAAGTCTGTATCACATTTAGTACCCGTCACCATGTCTCCTCTAAAC